TACTAGAGCTGCTGTGGTGCTTCCATTTAATAGTGAATTGCAATTATCTGATGAATTGTGGGAACCCGGGTTCCAGAATTTTCGGAACCAAATTTTAATAACTAGAAGGGCTGTGGTTACATTGACATCTTCCGTTGGTGCTCGGGTTCCGAGTTCCTATACTTTTATATGTATCTATTAAAATGTATAGATGGGGGAGGGGGGGGGGAAGAAGATATAGAGAGACAGTGTAGCGTTTTTTTTGTGGAGCTTGGGAACTCAGTCCCGCGTTGTGTAAATAAAACTACCATGATCATAATAGTTAATGCTACGTCGGTTCGGTGACATGGAACTGGCTCATATCAGGTTTAGGAACTTTACGCACTACTGAATTTTAATAACTACAATCACTCTAATGGCCATACGTTTAAAGTTCGGGAATCCCGAAAGAATTCACATTAGGATTTAGTAACTTCGCGTGACCTTTTTATTAGCGTACGCTAGTAGACGGACGTAATGGATTAGGTTACATCGTCCGCTCAACCTGTGTGCATAAAATGGCATCTAGAGTACCCTTAGACCCCCTTAGAGAGTTAATGCACCATGTATTACATATTAGTTCCTCCAGGTGCTGTAGCCACACGACGTACCCAGTTGAGTACTGGATTTACCAAAGATACTATACTCTCTGTATTTTGCTAGATCGTGTTGACCAATGTTCATCCCAGTCTCATGGAAAATGAGAGCATGGAATGCCTCACCGATTCTATCAGTTCTTTCAAGTTTAGTAAGCCGTCGTGGACGATAATTAGAGTCATCGTGATCGATTAAGTACTTGGCGAGCTGGGTTACTGGAAAAGGAGTCCCCTGGTTTTAGGGTTATCCTATGCCACTTTCACCGTAAGAAGGACCCCTATGAGCATCAAAGGCCAAGTACCACGACAAATTTGGAGAACTTCTGAAGCAGATAGTTGAAGAGATCTTTGCACTACTCACAAATAAGAGAGAGAAGCGTTCAAGCCAACCAGACATGTCAAGTTGCGGTGTGGCAGTTCTCAAATTTTTCGAGTGTTTTCTATCTGGAGTTGCACTGCCTTCCAAACCAAGCCCGGCACTTTTGGGCTTTCTCCGGCTGCGTTACATGCTGAAGTGTCTACCGTAGCTTACTGTAGTTATTCTCTTAGGGTTCATATTGAAGACGTAATCGAATACATGGTACATGTCGAATATATTACAACTCAAATACATTGATGCACTCCAACGGGCATTTTGCTCTCTCGCTTTTGTCGCAACAATATCAATTTGTGCAACACGTTTACCATATTGCATGGACGCAATCGCAAAAGTCAGCGGAAAATATGAACACTCATCAGGCGGACATATCTACTGCATTCACGGAAGCAGAAGGCTCCATCAACGTCCCAATGCTCCGTACGGATATACTGCCTCTGGAAGCCGTCACGCCATCCACAGAGCACAAGATCAGCACCATCCGTACTTTTCGATTTACTGACCATGGGTACAGCACGGGAAATACCGTCCACAGTGTCGCCAGCCAAAACTGACACGTCCCCAGACACAAGTAAACAGCCTCTAGCGCTCTACCGACGAAACAACGTATCACCAAAAGCGATAGCCACAGACGCCGCACTGCTCGTCGAAATGCTGCTAGACCCACCCGACACAGACGCGGGCCGTTGTTGTATGTGACACGACAGACACATCGCTGCTGCTCCGAGTGTTCGGCCCCGTAGATAAAAGTCAAGTGCACATCTAGGCAGCATGTCAAGATACCACTCACATTCAAGCAACATAAATAAATGACCTCATGGAAGCCACTTGATCCAAATCTCGACAAACTTGAAACTTTTTAAAACTGACCGTAAAAATTTTATCGCGAGCAATGCATGATATCGTAACTTTTGCTTGAAAGGGACCTACAATCTACAATACGTTGCTCAATGCCTTGGTACCTAGAGGCACCCAAGGCTCGTGCATCTACATCTCGCTTAAGTACGACATATTCAGTGCCTTTAACAACGCTATTTCAAAAAAAAAAAACACACACACACAAACCAACCAACATGATTCAGACATCGCTAGTAGTGGGGCTTTTCACATGTGAAAGTTAACACTTGGTGCTTCTAAAGAATGCTATGTTCACGGCGGCTGGGACAAAATCCATAAAACCCTTGGGTGTAATCTGGCCTAAACATCTCGGATGTGATGCAGGTGAATTTTCCAAGACGCACCCGAAAGAGAATATATGTGTACCCTAGACACCAAAAGCGATTTTATGAGTACCCCACCCATAGATTTGCTTTCGGTTGTCTAGCGACAACAATGATGTCGTTGTTTCGGCGATCTTATCCACTGAATATTAATAAGACTGGTCCCAAACCCTCCCTAGCCATGCTGTCACCCTGGCATGAATGATTAAAGACCAATTGTAAGAAATATCGAGTACCGGACGGGGAGGACCAACTCTTGGTACTTGTTCATCTCCCATTTTATGGAGTTTCACTTTAAGTTTTACTAGTATATCCTTATCCAGGTAGGGGGAGGTCTGACAACGCAGAACATGCTACATGTATCATTTGTCGGTACTATTGTGCGAATTATTCCAATTCGAAAATGATACATGCATTGTTTGTCGGCAGTATTGTGCGAATTTTTCATGCCTTGGTGGCGTGAACTCGTTAAATATTGTACAGTACAACTGATCATAGAAC